TAAACAGCTGTGAGATATTTCTTTTGAGTTCGGGACAAAACTTTCGCTTCTCCCTTTCTCTTTCTCTGCCTTTTTCCCACATTTGCCCCCTGTCGTTCAGAATTTTTCCTAAGACAACAGTATCATTTCGATGCGGAATCTTGTCTGTATTTGTTTGTTTATTCATGCGGCTGCATTCTTTGTATTCATATGTGTGCACATGTGGGCGAGTGTATGTGAAGTTATTTATGTTATAGAACAAGCACACGTGCTAATCAACCAGCCCGTAGTATATACAAGATGTAAGATTGTTGTTTCATCTGATTTACTTGTTTCGCGGTTGCGTTCATTCCTTTCTACAATTTCATACGAGTGGCTACTAGATCTACTATAGTAGTAGGAACTCTATAGGCACAGACGATCCTATAATGAAAAAATTATTCCGAGGCCCATTTACATAGTGGAAATAATTAAACAAACCTAGGCGATAAGGCGTAAACATTCAAAAAAATAGCGACAATTTCACAAGGATCATCGTCGTCATCCAAGGTACCCTTAAAATAAATACGTTGTATAATATTATGATTGTAACAATAGCAGTGACATAAACATATTTTTGAATGTTTGGCCTAATTTTTGCCAGAGTTACTACTACTACTACTACTACTACTACTACTACTACTACTACTACTACTACTACTACTACTACTACTACTACTACTACTACTACTACACTACTATTACTACTACTACTACTACTACTACTACTACTACTACTACCACTACTACTACTACTACTACTACTACTACTACTACTACTACTACTACTACTACTACTACTACTACTACTACTACTACTACTACTACTACTACTACTACTACTACTACGCGGACTAGGTCTGCTGCACAGAACGACGTCCTCGTTGGAGAACGCCTTATCGCAACCTCCCCCAACTGCCGGCTTATCAATCAGCCTAGGAAATTTGTCGACTGCGCCTGGCAGTGTCGGGCACGGGACGGCATTGCTTCAAGAGCCGATGTCCGACTCGCTAGAGACAGCTTTCTTCAAAAATCCGAATAAATTGTTCGGAGTGTCTCCATCGGATATCGACAAGTATTCGCGAGTCGTATTTCCCGTTTGCTTTGTCTGCTTCAACCTAATGTACTGGATCATCTATTTACATATTAGTGATGTTCTACCGCAGGACCTCGTACCGGATGACGCATCACGGCGGTGAAACGTACCTAACGCGGTGCATCGTCATGGAATCTAAGCAAAAACCTATACAGCTTTACGTTGCTTGCAAGCTCATACACACAGCCTCTCTCCTTATCGATGCTGATGTCGCCATTGTAGCGATCCGGAGACTAACGCGCCGAATACGATACCGTTTGCTACGGCAGGCAAAATCAACAGCTAATAACTACTACTGAAAAATGGCATAGACTGGATAGTAGCTGATCTAGCTCGAGAGACAGCGCCATAATCAATTATATCACAGTCAACCTACCTAATTATATGCAAAGCTGAAAATAACAACGTACGATTTTGTCGGGCAGCAAGCGAATGAACCAATAACAAAATAGCAACAGCACGAAGGGAGCATGAAGCACCAAATTGTAGGAGTTAGAAGAACGGGAATGAAATATTATACAGTAACCAAGTTTCCGCCTCTGCCGCTCGTAGCTAGGTCTCCATGAAAACAAGCATCTTGAGCTAACACGCTGAGCTACATCTCAGATCAGACCTGTAGAAACGGAAATCTCTACCGAAAATTCTATCGTCGACGGAGAAAATCAAGCACGTGTTGTTTTTGTCGTTATTACGCCTGTGGCACCGACAAACAAACGGACTAAGCGGCCAGATCCATAGCTCTGTATTCGGAAAAAGATCGTACAACACACGCAAGTAATGAACTAGTAGAGGAAACAACAACTGGCCGACCCATACGTTCCGGCTGAACAGTGATCGTTTTCTATTGAATGATACCAGGTAGTTAAGCGCGAGCAATCGATAGTGGTGATAACAATGATTATCAACAGAATGTTTAAACGCTGATTAGTGTCCTTACATCGGTCACCCGGTTGGCTGAGATAAAGCCATCACGAGGTTGTCCTAAAAGACAGTGGCCACTACTTTCGAGACAACACTGAATATTATTATAAGCCTAAAAGTACACAATAGACGAGATGAAATCAAAGAATATACTGATACTTGGTATCAAACGAATCGATGTAAGAGGCTCATTAATCAATAAGTCAGAATGACGATGATGGAGAAAAAACAAACGAAACCTTAGGGTACGAGGCATCACAAGTGCCTCGAATGCATGCTGATTCATTCAGAAGAAGCAGGCTGAATGCAAAGTTAAGTGCTAAGGTAAACTAATGAAAGGTTTGCAGCGGAAGCCATCATTACATAAGACAGCAGCGAACCCACTGCTCTGATTCTCTACTACCCCTCTTCCACAGGCTTCGCATAGATGAGAAACCGAAGGAAAGAAAACGAACGGAAAAATGAATCTGGTAAGAATATTAATAGATAACTGGAAAGAGACAATTATATCAATATATTAATTAATACTAACCGTTATTCGTTTGTATAAGATCATAACGTAAGGTCTAAACGATTATGAGTATTACTGTTATTAGGATTATAAGGTTAATATGTTTATTATTATTAAGTAGTAGTAGTACTTGAAGTAGTAGTAGTAGTTGAAGTAGTAGTAGTAGTAGTGGTAGTAGTAGTAGTAGTAGTAGTAGTAGTAGTAGTAGTAGTAGTAGTAGTAGTAGTAGTAGTAGTAGTAGTAGTAGTAGTAGTAGTAGTAGTAGTAGTAGTAGTAGTAGTAGTAGTAGTAGTAGTAGTAGTAGTAGTAGTAGTAGTAGTAGTAGTAGTAGTAGTAGTAGTAGTAGTAGTAGTAGTAGTAGTAGTAGTAGTAGTAGTAGTAGTAGTAGTAGTAGTAGTAGTAGTAGTAGTAGTAGTAGTAGTAGTAGTAGTAGTAGTAGTAGTAGTAGTAGTAGTAGTAGTAGTAGTAGTAGTAGTAGTAGTAGTAGTAGTAGTAGTAGTAGTAGTAGTAGTAGTAGTAGTAGTAGTAGTAGTAGTAGTAGTAGTAGTAGTAGTAGTAGTAGTAGTAGTAGTAGTAGTAGTAGTAGTAGTAGTAGTA